AGTTTGCCCTGTTTAGAGTTCTGTGGATATTTGAGTTTGCTGTGCTAGATTTTGATCTGTAGAACAAAAGGTCCATCCTGCTATGACAAAGAATCACTTTTATTTGCCTTATCTCCTGTCTTGGTGCTGAGCCCCATTAAGTGAATGGGAAGTAGGATAAAGGTGTCAGGCTGTAACCAGATGACTACCTGATTGTTATCCCCTTTTCTAGACTAGGATGTAGCTTTTTTTTGTAACCCTGGTGGCTTTCTAATGCTGACAACAGGAAAAGTCATATTTGGTTTGAAAATACTGGGACTTCAGACTGCGTGTGGATCATAATATACAAGTGATGCATCATCCATCATTTGTGCTGTGTCTTCCTTGAGCAGATCCTGCTGGGAGGGCCATGGGCTGCAGTAACTTGTGATTTCTAAGGCAGTGATCTAAGATGTCTGCCTTGGAGACACAGTTACATGGAAATCCCACTGGGTTGTTTGGCTGGGATTGCATCAAACAGCAAAGTGCAACACCACAGGCTGAGCGGGGCTGTTCAGGTGCTTGATGAGTGAGAGTGTTTATGTGTGTCTGTGTGTGTGTACCAAGGCCAGAGTTTGATTACAGGCTCTCCAGTGAATGGTCATGGGGCCCAAGGCTGCCAGAGCTCCAGAAGCATTTGGACAATGCTCTCTAGCACAGGGTGGGATTGTTGCGGTGTCCTGTGCAGGGCCAGGAACTGGACTTAATAATCCTTGTGGGTCCAACTCAGGATTTTCTGATTGGGTGTCTTAGGATTTTGGGGAATGGTATTGGAAGTTCCAGTGCTCCAATGAAGGAATTGCCTGCTGTTTCCTCTGTGGACAGGCACTGGGTGAATGATGCCTTTTGCTTGGAGGACTTTCTGAGGCCAAACTGAGACTATGCCTGGCCTGGCCTGCCCACGGGCCTTGGGCTGTGCTGCAGCTCAGGCAGGTCCCAACAAACTAGGGTTTGTGTGCTGCACAGGTGGGAGCTGTGCCCTGGCTTCTTCTCCAGGTCCTCCTTTGGCTTAGTCTGCTATTTCCCTATCTGTGGTGTGGCAATAAAATCCTTACCTTTGCTGGGAGTGTTGATGCTGAACCTTGGTTTTCAGTCAAGGTAAGAGCCTCTCAACAGATAGGCAGTGTTGTCTCTCATTGTCATTTTGTCAGGTACAAACACTTGATCCTTTTGTTGTTGGCTCCCCTGCAGTGTGAATATATAAGGTGATCTCATATTGCTCAGTTGCTGTTATCAGGACCTGGCTTGTGACATGGCTGCAGCCCCTGGGGGCAGTAGTGACAGGACTGAAGTTGCTTTGAGTGCTTGGCATGATCAGAGAGAGCTCCTGTTCGCCTACTTGCCCTGTGTGAGCTTGGTGTCAGCACAGGATTTGAGCCATGGCACGTATCAGCCGTTCCCATGCCACGATGCTCTTGTCTTTCCTGTTCCTGAGGGGTTTGATGGATGGGGATGAGTCTGAGCAGGTGTCTTTCTTGCTTCTCCCATATGGATCAATAAGATATGACCCAAGTTTAATGAAAGTGCAGCCAAAGGGCATAAAGCACTTCTTGATGGAATCCCTTTGCTGTCCAGGGATTGTATCCCAGGGCAAAGCCCAGTGTGTGTGCGCAGATGCTGCTTTGTCTTCCAGGGCTGTTGTGTAGCTTGGGTAGGCTGTGACACTTACACTGTTACATAGCCTGGGGATTTGGATGAGGATGAGCCAGGAAGGACAAATGTTTGCAATGTGATTGAGCCTTGCTGTGTATTCTGGTAGATCTGGCTGGTGGCTGAATGCTCACTGTAACATCCCGAGGACAGGATGTCTTGGATCCCTCTGCTCCACTCAGATGACACCTTACATGCATTGCTGCATCGAGCTCTGGTGATTCCAGCATCAGAAGGATGTGGAGCTGCTGGAGAAAGTCCAGAGGGAACCACAGAGATGCTCCGAGGGCTGGAGCCCGGCTGGGAGAGCTGCGGGTGTTCACTTGGAGAAGAGAAGGCTTCAGATGGACCTCAGAGACCCTTCTAATGCCCAAAAAGGCTCCAAGACAGCTGAAGAGGGACTTTGGACAATGAATGGAGGGACAGAAGACAGGGAATGGCTTCTCACTGCCAGATGGGATATTGGGAAGGGATTGTTCCCTAGGAGTGTGGTGAGGCTCTTTCACAGGGTGCCCAGAGAAACTGTGGCTGCCCCATTTCCAGAATTGTTCAAGGCTGGGTTGGACAGGGCCTGGAAGAACCTGGTCTAGTGGAAAGTGTACCTGCCCATGGCAAGATGAGATTTCAGCTCTCTTCTAACCCAGACCAGTTGGGTTCTGTGGTTTTGGATCAGGGATCCACCTCCTTTCATATCCAGCCACCTTTCTTCCATTCCCCTCTGGCTCACTCCTTGAGGCAGGCTCTTGACTGAAGGGAAATGGGGACCTTTTGGGGACCCCCTTCCTCAATCCTGGTTTACAGTAGGTCTGAAGTGAAGATGTTCACTTTGGTCCCCTCTCTAGCTTGGTGACATGGTGGACATCTGCTCTAGCCTCTGTTCTGACACATTGGTATTTAAGGGGGGATTTTCCCTGGGGTTGGCTCCTAATCAGCTGCACACAGGCCTTGGGAGTAGCATCATCCTCTCAGCAGGAAGAGGTGATTGATTGGGGTCCAGCTGCTCAGCTAACAGGGTGATGTGTGCAGCAGGAACTTTGGCCACTGTCCCAGCCCAGGACACTGGCCCTGGAGATGCACAGAGATGCACATTGAACATGGCAGCCAGCTTATCACATGTCTGCATTTGGGAAGTAGTTATGTTAGCTCAGGCAGTTGCAGCTGCTTCCCAAAGGGATGTGTGACATTGCCATCTGTCTCTATGTAACATAACATGCTAGCTGCTGAACCAGGAACAGGGCTTGGCATCTTCCTTTGGATTTGTGGCTCTCCCTGTGGTGCTTCTTGTGCTCTGTGTTAAGGCCTGGCTCTGCTTCCCAACCTAGCGGTTGGATTTTGCTGTGCTGTAGTGGTGTTTTGGCAGTGAAAGCACCTGCAACAGACTAGGGCAAAGTTACATGAAAAGGGGAATTAAATTTATTTATTTGGGTAACTATTCTTGATGAGAATGTGTGCCTTTGTCTGACCCCTGTCCTCAGAAGACATCAGAGGATCATGCTGGCCTTGTACTCTGCATCCTACAGAGGAATGGGAGGTGAAGCCTTGGGTCTGTGGCTGAGAGGCTAAAGCCAGTGGTGGTGTTCTGAGCTGGAGGCTAGGCCTCCCTTTTTGGGAAGGTTTCTGAGGACAGATGGCTGCACATGCTGTTGTCCCAGGATTGAAGCTGTTTGGGGATGGACTCTCCCTGGATTCCGCAGTGGCAAAGGATGGTGTTTCCTGTAGCAGCCTTGTCCTTGTGGCAGAGGTTGTGTGAGCTGGCAAGATAGGAAGGTGCCTCCCATCAGCAGGTTAGCATGGGACCATAGGCAGGAGACTCTGTTGCTGCCCTTATTTCAGGTGATACAACTTCAACCAGGGAGGGACATGCAGGCAAACATCCTGAGCTGAACCAGTGTACTAGGTTCAGAGCCCTGACAGCATCTCCTCTCTGAGTGAAGAGGGAAAACTTGCTGTACCTGTGGGTACCTGCTGCAGGTAAGGCTTTGCTGTGAAAGTGGGATGGACTTGGCACCTCTCGGACTAGCTAGGTGGTGATGGACTCACTTTGCAGGAGCTGGAACCCCACAGTGCATGTCATGCCTGGACTACGGGGACCTGCCCGTCTTCAAGGAAGAGGCAGAGCCAGGGAGAAGCATCTGCTCAGGGCCCTCTGGCTGCTGACAGGTTTCATTTCTGAGGTGGTGTCTTATGATCTGGGAATGACACTTCAAACACCTCATAACCCTTTGGGGAAGCCTGGACCCGCTTCTGTGAAAGCTTCTCCATTAAACCCAAACAGAACTCAGAAGAGATGGGCACGGAGTGCTGAGAACAGCCGAGGGGGTGGCAGCCTTTGGTGTCTGGAGTATTTGGTGCTGTGCTGCCTCTCTTTGTTCTTGTGCAAGTGTTTGGACAGGGTGTTTCCACCGTGCTGGAGGAAAACCCGGAGTGATAGCAGCAGTCAGTGGGAAATTCCTGTGAAGTTCTTGTTTTTCAAGTGAGATACCATGAAGTTGTGTCAGGGGTATCAAGGAGGTTTTCTTCTGGGGGCTGGGTCTGTTTCAGTCCCTGCAGATCAAGGCTGATGTCAGTGCTCCATGGGTTTGAACTCCAGCCTACTTTGATGCCTACATGGGAGTTCAGGTGGCATTTTTTCATAGAATCATGTAATGGTTTGGGTTGGAATGGACCTTAAAGACCACTGCAGATAACCTAGACTAGACTGCTCCAAGCCCTGTCCAGCCTGGCCTTGGACACAAAAGGATGAGGCAGCCACAGCTTCTCTGAGCACCCTGTGCCAGGGCCTTACCACCCTCACAGGGAAGAATTTCTTCCCAAGATCCCACTGCAGTGGGATCCCTCTGGCAGTGGGAAGCCATTCTTCCTTGTCCTGTCCCTCCAGGCTCTTGACAAAAGTCCCTCTCCAGCTCTCTTGGAGCCCCATTAGGCACCAGAAAGGGCCTCAGAGGTCTTCCTGGATGAACACCCCCAGCCTATCTCCAGAGCAGAGGGGTTCCAGCCCTCAGAGCGTTTCTGTAGTCTGTGGAGTTCCTCCAGCAGCTCCACATCCTTTGGATGTTGGAATCCCCAGAGCTGGATACAGCTCTGCAGGTGGTGAATCACTTGAGATGAGGAAAAAAGGAGAATGAGGAGCTGTTTGACCTCAGCAATGTCACATCCTGCAATGACTGGATGCAGTAGCAGCACTTCTTTGGACAAGAACAATGCTCTTTTCCTGGCTTTGCTGGCTATGGGACAGGCTCCATGGGAGAGCCATGTCTTGGAATGCTGATGTGTAACAGTGATGAATAAAACTGCTCTCAGTTAATATGATCTGTGTTATTTTTTTTTTGCAGGAACGCCAAGGCCGTGTCAAGTAAAAGGCCATTCCTCCAGCACAGATTGCATCCCAGCTGTCTTTCAGAGAGAAAGGAGCAAGAGTATCCCAGAAAGAATTAGGACTTTTTTTCCTTAATTCCTTTGACTTCAAAAAGACTTTTACAAACTTCCAATTAAAAAAAAAAAAGGTATTGGAATATCACAAGACATAGGACTAAAAAAACCAAAAACAACTACAAAAAAAATCCCTTCTAGGTAGAGTAGAGATAAAACCTGTCTCCTTTCTTTTGGCTTTGGTTGTGATTTCAGAGCATACACTTTGTTTTTGTCTTTTTACTATGGTTTTTGGATTTTCAAGTCCATAAGTGGCATAAGCCTTTTTTTTTTGCTTATTTTTAAATCCCACTGTTCCTCCTCTTTCCACCCTGTTGGGCCTCCTTCCCTAGTTTTGATATTTGCACTTGGAACACTGAATTATAACATCCACCATGCAAAGTGGAGTAACTTTTTTTTTTTTTTCTTTCCCTGGACCAGAAGAGGAGGAATTCTATGAGGAAGTCGGGATTTTGGCCTAAGAAGAATTGAACAAAATTGTCCAACAGGTTATGTCTTAAAGGTGGTTCATTTTTCTCTGACCCTTTGTTACTCAAAAGTCAAGTACTAGGAGTCCTAAGAAATGTTCTGTTCTTGTGCATTATATAGATTTAAAGATTAGGTCTGGATGAATTTGATTTTTTGAAAGCTGAGAACAGTGGTAAAAACTTGTCTTGTTTACAGGAAAATGAATTTTGGACAATAAAAAGCCCAAAACAAACAAACCAAGGAAGAAATTGTAAAATGTGTAGTGACTATGTTTCAGTTTCTTGTTAAGTCAATGAGGACTGGACGTTGCCTTTCTTTTCACCATTAATCACTTCTCATTAATAAATGTGAGATCCTGTTGAGCATCACTGTTGTCTCGTGCTCCCTTCCCCATGCTCTCAGCTCCTTGGATAACAACTATTGATAAAATACCTGAGAAATAAGGAGTGGAGAGGTGATTTCTCCTTGAGTTTGAAGTAGGGTCCTCTCACCTTGGCATTCCCAGCTCAATCCAAGACCTTTGGGACTGTTGTGGCTCCCTAGTGTCACCTGGCTCCAGATGTAAGGGGCAGTGCCCACCTGGCCTTGCTCCCAGGATTCCTTCCCATGTCATGAGTAAGTTGGGGATGATAGCTCCTTCCAGGTGTGGGAAATGCAGATACCTCACAGCCCAAATCATCTTCCCGGGGAAAAACACTCATCATGAAGAAAATAATAAAAATCCTCCCCCTCCCTCTTCCTCTTCTCTCATCATGGACCCTGCTGCTCAGTTTTGGTGGACTCCACCTCTGTCTAGCAGCCTGTTGCTCCAGGAGCTGATCACCTAATCAGTCTGACAAGCACTGCTGTGGAACCATGTCAGGTATCCTGGGGGCATGGCCAGTGTGAGGGCCCCCAGGTACCAGCAGACTTGCTGAGTGAGTGATGGAATAAATCCTTATTGGTTGCCTTTCCCCTTCCCTTGCACTGGGGAAGGGGCTATGAGGGAGCCCAGGGTAGGAGGTGATGCAGAGATGGTCATTTGGGGCAGCACAATGTCACTGGAGAGAGAAGATGCAATGGAGGAGAAGATGAGTAGATAATAAGAGCGGTTAAGTGGGGTACTCCCAAAAAAGGGAGGTTACAGCCCTCTTGGGGCTGTAAACCCCAAAACTGCCTGGAAGTTTAGGGGGTGTTTGTTCAAAAAATACAGAAAGCTGTAGCATTTCTTTTCTTTTTATGTATATATAAAAATAATGATTCTTGTTAAAATTGATTTCAAAATACAACCTTGTATCTACTGTACTATATACAGGATCTTGGTGTATAAGAAATTCTAAATATAGATATATAGGGTTTAAAAATGCAAATACAACTTTTGTATATATAAATTAAACAATAAAGGACTTGAAAATGGAAGAAAATATCTCTATGAAGGCAATAGAAATAGCTCTGACTATTCAGAGGTTTTTTTCCGTCTCGCTGTAAAACAGTCAGATCTTGGCTGGGACTGAAGTCGCTACTGCCACCCGGTGATAAGTACCATGTACTGCAGCTGCCCGGCAAGGAAATGCCACACTCAAAATGGCATTTAAATTTCAATTTAAATTAGAGACCCCTGGAAAAGCAAAGGTGAGGTGGGATTACCTGGGTCCCCAGGGGACCGAGGTGAAGTGGATGAAGAAGCAGACAGCAAACAGATCCCACTGCTTCTCACTCCAGCAAGGGGAACTGCCCTGGAATTTCACGTCCAGCGACTCTTCCAAGCCCCACAGGTGAACAAAGAGGTACCCCAAGACTGATCTCCTTTGTACTCACAGTAGCGCAGACACAGCAGGAGGACCTGCAATTCAAGGACACATGTCAGCAACTGTCTTCTCACTTGCTGCTCTCTCCACATTTTCCTTTTCCAGTGGGACACAGGTGCCACCCCCCAGAGGCAGGAAAAACTGCCTTGCAATCCAGTACAAAACCTGCCTGGCAAGCCCAGGACACCAGGAGCCACCAGCCATTTCTCCTGGATTTCCTGCTCACAGGCATTTCAAGCCTGCTTTGCCTCACAGGTACTTTTCTGCCAAGGGCATTCCTATCTCTTTTTAGCCTGATTCAAGTTTTGGAGAGCTGAGTTTCATGAGAACTTGTTCATACTTTGATTGTCTGTGACAGGTGGGGAGCATCCGTGTTCTCTCAGTCTTCCATTCAGGAGAAAAAAGACAACACAACCCTTAGACACCTAGTGTGTAATCCAACAATCAAGGGAAAACCACCTCACTCTGGGAAGAAATGTAATCCCCAATTTTGGCCAAGACTGAAAAAAACCCAAATAGTGCTGGAAACATTTCCAGGATGGAGCATTCCAGCTCCAAAAATGCAGCTCACAGGCTTCTCACCACAGAAACCCCAAAAATGCCCGACTGAGCTCAGGGATAAAACTGCCTATTCCACCAGCATGGCATGGAACATTCCATGGACACTCCAGGAAGGTGTCCCTGACCATAACAGGGGGTTGGAATGTGGTGATCTATAAAGTCCTTTTCAACCCAGACCATTCCAAGAGTTTAAGGCCAATTTGAGCTACTCTTCAACTCACACTTTGTTCCCAAGCCTCATTCTCTAGGCTGTCTTTCCCATACCTTGCTGGAAAGGGAAGCAGTGGGTCCTCTCCCTAATCACGCCCACTGCAAATTGCTGAGCCCTGCCCAAAAACTACCAGGTAACAAACGAGTTATCCACTGTTCTGTCTGTTTTCTGTAATCCAACACTTCAATGACATCAGAGTGAAACAACCAGGATCAATACCAGGTTATAGGTACAGTTCTGATGGAATAATCCCCAACACTCACTGCCAAGTGCTGCTGGAGGAAAAAAAGCTGTTCCCAATTCAGATGGTATTTAGGAGGATCCCTATCTAGTTTCCCAGGATGTATGGGAAGCTGCTACTGACAGACTGGAACTCAGGAGAACTTGAGTAGTTTACTGAAAGCTTATAAAACAGGGACTTTTTCCCAACTCCAAGGCAGCTCGAGTGCTATGGCTCGCTAGGCTTCCTAATGAAGTGCTGCATAAATGTGTCCATCTGTGGGAATCTTCCTTTAACCCAGTTTCAGGGAAGAGTTGATAAGGTTTCAGTTAAAATTTGAATCAGCTTGTAAGACATCAGACAGGAAAAATAAAATACCCAGATGCTCCCTTTTCCCAGCTGAAACTTACTGGGATATTCAGAGCTTATTTGGAAAGAAACCCCTCTGAAGGATAACATATCAAATATTTTGGAAATTCTGAGGGATGGAAAAGCAAATCCTTTCAGAGTAATTTCCAGCACAATAATCACAAACATCCTCAGAGGTGTCATTTGGCGGCTCAAATCCTGTATAGCCAAACCTGACACTTTGGCTCACGTGAGAAGCAGATGGGGAGTGCCAGAACAAAGTTCATCCTTCCTTAAAGCAATTCCCAGGGAGCTGATGACCCTCCAGTGAAACTCTGGCTTGCGATAAGGCCTTCCTGCCTGTGGCGCTGATCTGGGTGAGCACAGGTGCTCTGGCTGGGAGTGACAGCGTCACTGAAATTATGGGAAAAGCAAAAATCCTCCAACAACATTTTTTAGTGTTAAAGAATTAAGGCATTGCTTTATTTTGTTCAGGATGTTGTTCTGGCCAGGATGTGTAACAGAAATAATTTCTTTCACATATTGCCTGGATTGTGCAGAGAAAATCCTTCCATCACACATGATTTTTACTAGATTTTTCACATACTTATGCAGTCAAAATTCAGATAAATTCATTGGTTCAATGTTCATTGGTCCCAAGTTACACAGTTCTTAGAATTTGGTTTCCTATTGGTTATTGATCCCTTCGCCTTCAATATTAATTAGGTTCTCATTCTTTGTTCTCTTACCTACGTTTTCCCAGATCAGGTGTCTCTGACCATGCCAGGAGTGATGTTTGGAGTTGATGTTTGTTAGTGGTCATTATCTTTTGTGTATCTTCTGTGCTACTCCCAATCTGCTAGGATGTTAAACTCGTCAGGGCTTGAGTGGTAAAATGGTCCTTTAAAAAGAAACTTCAATTTCTTTCTCCCTGAGCAAAGATGAACAAAACTCCAGACTGAAGTTATATAAAAAAAAAATTTAAACTTTGTATCATTTCCAACAAATGGAATCCCGGAGGTTTGGTGTGTCTGCAGCTTGTTGCAGTTTTGGAGACAGACAAGCAACAAGAACACACCGAGATCATGCAACAACAGCCAAAGTTTATTGTTGGGCAGCCCCTTTTTTTATAGGGGCTTCAAATTTCCCACGCTATACATATCTGATTGGGTAAGGGTCTCAACTCTGCCCAGCTCACAGGCTAATGGTATGGGTGCATTCATACTTCAAAGAGATTGGCCGAGGTCCCCTGTTGGAGTTTGAATCTGACCCATTAGTAACATGCCTGGGGACTTGTTTACTTCTATTTCTCTAACTAGCTCGGCTGGTCGTGTAAGTGTCTGTCATGGCCAAATTATCTGTGCAGCTATAGACCAGCTACAGCTGTCACAGTTCCCTATTTTCTGTTTAAAAAAATGCAAGTATTATTTGTCATCTTCTGCGGAGCTCCTTGCAGATCAAATTACAAAGACAGCTTGATGATACAGATGATTCTCCCTAGCTCGGCAAGCCTAGCCTCTCTCAGCCAGTGATGCATCCCATGTGTCACTGAAGTTGTCATATTCATTCCCAGGAGCTGTCAGATGGGATTACCAACAGTACAAGTTCTCAAAATGGCATGCCACAGGCTCATTAGTTGGAAGTTACAAACTTACAACTTAACACTATAAACAGGAAACATTTCAACTTTTAGAACCATGGGAGAGCCAACCAACTGGGAAAAAAAAATCAATGTTTTAGTTGAACAATCTGCCTTAGTTCATGTCTGTGATCCATATCCTTAAATAGATAAAATCTTCAAGTCTTCATATCTTTAAATATATAAAATCCTTCTAAGTGTCAAGTGATTTAGGGTACAAATGGCACCAGGCATTCCCCCTTTTTCCGTTTAAAAAGATTACATTTTAAAGTGCCATGCAGAGGGTAGCAGTGGTATAACACACCCCAGAGCTGTAGGAATAATTTTGTGTTTAGTGAGGTATACAACTGGTTTGGAAAGTAGCATTTATCAAACAAATTTAAAATTATTAAAGGAAACACCTTAGGTTTTACAGGTTACATCCTGGTATATGATTAAAAATGACACATCATTGTGTTTGCAATGTCCTTAAAATGTAATTCTCAAGGTATTTTTTGAAAGTTAGAAGTACAGATATTGATTTGTTTTTGCATAGGTGGTGAACACAATGCTGGCTTAATTAAATATGGACAATAATATCTGGTAGTAAGGGTTTCAGATCT